ACATGACTTAAAAAAATAGATATCAAGTTTTAGTTTCTAAGGTTTGTTAATTTTTGCTGCTTGTAAAACAAGTCTTGGCACCTCTGGTATCATTCATTCATTCAATCAATCAATTGGTCAACTAATAAGCATTTATTAAGCACTTACTCTATGTTCTACAGTATGCTAAGGGCTGGGGATTTTTTTTTTAAAGGCAAAAACAGTCCCTACCTCAAGGACTCCACATTCTAATAGGAAAAGACATTCTGCATTTGAATTAGGTACAGACAAGACTCATGGAGGGTAGGTGGCTCAGTGGATAGAGTGCTGGGCCTGGAGTGGGGAAGACCCATCTTTTTGAATTCAAATCTGGCCTCAGACACTTGTTAGCTTTGTGACCTTGGACAAGTCACTTAATCTGTATTTGCCTCAGTACTCTGGGGAAGGAAATAGCAAACCATTCCAATATTTTTGGAAAGAAAACTCCATGGACAGTATTAAGGTCCATGGGGTCACTAAGAGTCAGACACAACTGAATAACTGAATAGCAATAGATGAAATCCATACAGAACATTGCTTCTATTATGAAGTTCCTGCCTACTGTTGATGTTTCACACCTGTGCTTCTGTTTATTTGTTCTATACTGTAGCTCTTTTAGAACCTTAGAGGGAAAGGCTGCAGCAGCTAAAGGGACTGGGAAATTAAGGGTCAAACTATGGTCAAACTTAAAACTCTTTGGTGACTATAACTCATTTGGGTGATGTCCAAACTGACACAGCATGTGGGTGGTGGTTAAGAAGCTAGCAATCATTTGCTATCAAAGGTTAATTTCCTCAGGACTAGAAATGAATCTAGCAACACTAATGAATTTTGTCTTATTTCTTCTGGGCAGTGAAGGTATTAGACATTTAAAAAACACTTCATTTCAGCTGACTTCACAAGGCAATATCTATAGCCCTGATTAGCCAATATTGAAATGATATGCAAGAAGACATTAACATAAGTTAACTGGGCATACTATGCATGGCTGATGTGGCTAACATGTCAGGTCATTCATGCCACCTTTGTGAATAAGAAAAATATAAAATGCTATTTGAGGCTTTAGGAAGGAGATATTTCCAACTTGGGGGAGTGGGAAGAGAGGAAAGAGAAATCAGGGGAGCTTTCATGGTAGAGGAGGTTTTTGAGTTGATTCTTTTTTTAACTTTTAATTTTTTTTCTTTTTCTTTTTTGGTGAGGCAAACAGGGTTAAGTGACTTGCCCAGGGTCACACAGCTAGTAAGTGTCAAGTGTCTGAGACCGGATTTGAACTCAGGTCCTCCTGACTCCAAGGCTGTAGCTCTATCTACCGCCTAGCTGCCCCTTGAGCTGATTCTTGAAAGATGGGTAGGACTGAATAGGCATGGAGGGAAAGTAAGACTTTTCAGGATATAGAGAACGGCAAAAGGAAAGATGCAGAGACAGGTGAAGCAAGGCATATAGAGTAAATAACAAGGGGTCCAGCTGAGGTAGAACATAGAAAAGCTAGAGGGAAGTAGTTGGAAGCAAGGCTAGGCAGGCTGGGTGGCATTAGATTATGGAATGCCTTCAGTGGGAGTCTAAGGCATCTGCATTGTATTCATGAGGCAGTTAGGAGCCTCCACTGGCAGGTAACAAGTATCAGACCTGTATATGAGGAAGATTAATGTGGCAGGGATGTGAACCACATTTCAGAGAAGGGCAGGAGCTAGAAAGTGAGAAGAGTAGTGAGTAGCTATCACAACAGTTAAGAAGTGATAATGAAGGCCTGGTGGTAGCAATGGGAATAGAAAGGAGGAGTTATAGCAAAGGTGACTATAGTATACTGGCAAGAGTACTGACTCCAGAGTCAGGGAGTCCGAGGGTTTGAATTCGAATCATGCCACTGGCCCTTACTATCCATGTGATCTTGGTTAAGCTACTTAAACTCTCTGGGCCTCAGTTTCCTCCTCTGTAAAATGTGGTGGGTAGATAAGATAGCCTCTGAGGTTCCTGGGCTCCAGATCTATTATCCCTTTTAAGGAGGCACTTTGGATGTGTACAGGCTTGTTCCAGTATTGCTGTCACTGCTCAAAAACAGTTTTAGAAGTTCTTTAGAGCCTGAAATGTGTCCTCAAAATGCTTTATTGTTGCATTTTTAAAAACACTGCTATCCTTTCCAAACCTTATCCTCTTAATCCAACAGAATCTTCCCTCATAACAAAGTACAGTTAAGCAACTCGAAACTGTCACACTGACTATATCTGACAACTTGTGCCTCATTCTCTGATAGACCCTCTCTTGAATAAACTGTTCAGCAAAAACAGCAACCACGTCTGTCTGCAGCAAGCATATCCCTTGCAATAACCTCAATAGTGACACATATTAGTAATTCTTTGAAAGTGAATTCTATTTTTCAAAGTAGCCAGAAGTAATTGTGAGTCAGTGGTCATGATTACATTAAATCATACCATTTCTGGCCAAATGGGGAGCATGACTATAAAGTAACAAAACTCATATTCTTGCATGACTTATGAACTGATTCTGAAAATAGAATTTCAAGTGTTACGCCAATGGCAGCATCATTGGAATAAGTGCATAATATCTCAAGGTAACTACTTCAAAGGGGAGAAAATTCATCTAGTTGCATGTATTCTTTAATTATGTATAACTTTAAAAGATCAATAACCTATGATTTCATTGGCATAGGTACTCTAATGTTGAGATTGTAATAACACAAACCACACTCCTCTCTATAACTCCGTAGGTGGTTTTCAAGAAATGCAATTGTGAAAACCTCAACACCCTGCAGCCAACCTGGTGATGAATAGTTTTGATTATAATCATATTCAGCTGCAGCCAGCAGACACATAGTCCACCACTAGGCCCTTACTCAAAGCATTTCCATTTGGATAGGACCTATCAGAGACTTCAGTCTATTGGCATGGATTTCAAGAACAGAGGTTAACTTCCATGCCATGATGAGGGATTGGATGAGAACATTAGTGGAGAACTTTTCCTTTCCCTATTAAAAATAAGTAGCAGAGATTGTGTGAATAGTGGATCTAGAGGTGGCCTCAGAGCTAGAAAGACCCGAGTTCAAGCATTGCCTCTGACACGTGAGCTCTACAACCATAGGCAAGTCACTTAGCCCTTGGTGCTTTAGGCAGCTAAGGCTATAGCTAAGGTGCAGAGAAATCACCATTCTCCACTGATAGAAGTAGTTTTCTTACCTAGGATTTTCCTAGACCAATGAAATCACAGGTCTACTAACTATCCCTCTATTTTTAGCATATATTAAGTGTGTACCAGGCACTGTGCTACATGTTGGAAATACAATGAAAGACAAGACCAAAACAGTCCTTGTTCTCAAAGAGCTCACTATCTAATAGGGAGAGACAAGATGCAAAAAACAACTACGTACATATACATGCTATGTATACATACTATTATAATATAATTCTATAATATTATATATCATAGTCAATAAGTTATATATGTAACATTACATAATAAATTAGTATGTACACAATTGTTTTTTGCATCTTGTCTCTTCCCTTTAGTGTGTGTACATAATACATATACAGAATATATATATACATACATATATATATATATATATATATGCACACACATACACATATATATATATGAGATAAATTAGATATAATCACAGAGAGAAGGTACTAGCATTAAGGAAGGCTGGGAAAGGCTTCTTCCAGAAGGTGAGTCTTGAACTGAATCTGGAAGGAAGCCAGGGAAGCCTAGAGGTAGAGATGAGGAGGGAAAGAATTCCAGGCAAGGGAGGTAGATAACAAAAATGCACGTAACATTACTTAAAAAATGTTATTTTAAAGTTGTAGGGTGCTTCACAAATAATAGACAGTTAACAACTGTCCTTTGAATTGAATTGTATTTCATAAGCAATCTCTTAATTCTACCCTACGTTTTTTTTTAAAGAAGTCAGGCAAATGGATGATCAAGCTACAGTCTTTTACTGGCAGTGAAAAGCCCATGTACAGTCAAATATCCTACACAGTTAATTATTTTTTTAAAGGGAACTCTTAAGGCCTCCAAGGTATTTTTTGATTTAGAGATCATACAGCATAACTCCAAGAAACTGAGGCCCATAGTGATTAGGTGACTTGCCCAAGGTCATACACGAGACTAGAATCTGGATCTTTTTAAAGGGCCAGGGCCACTTAAGTCCCATATCACCTTTGAATCCTTCCATAAATACTTTAGCCCACTCTCTTCTCTGAAATAAATCCTCTGGAATTTAGTATGTATCATTCATTTTTGCACTTAATCACACACTGCCTTGGCCCCGAGTATATAGCCTAACTTTCTAAGAAGATTTTTAAGGTCCTTTGGAAATGGACATCAGATTGTCTTGATTTTTTAAAAAAATTACTCATAAAATCCATCACATGAAGCAACCATAAAACTCACCACATGGATAGAGAGCTAGCTTTCAGAGTCAGGAAGACCTAGGTTCAGATAAATATCAGCTGTGATCCTTGGAAAGTCACTTAATTTCTTAGTGCACCAAATATTTAATAATAATAAACTAGCATTTATATAGCAATTTAATATTGGTAAACATTTTTATAAATATCTCATTTTATCCTCACAACAACCCTAGGAGGTAGGTGCTATTATTCCCCCCCCCCCCATTTTCCAGATGAAGAAACTGAGACAGATAGAGGTTAAGTGACTTGCCCGGGGTCATACAGCTAGTAAGTCTCTCAGGCCATATTTGAACTCATATCTTTTTGACTCTAGGTCTAGTACTCTACCCTCTGGATCACTTTACCTCTAAGATATCTTCGATTACATGTTGAAGAGAGCATGCTAATTTGTGCTTGCAGGAGAAGTTCCTCGATTAGGAGTTTTCTATATCAATAAAAGTTTTCTCTATATGGGTCTGATCACAAACATGCAAGCAAACAAACCCACCACAGTGGTGAGCTTGTAGTAAACATGTAGCGATCACTTATTGAATGAATTAGAGACAAACTCACTCCGTGGCCCTCGTCGGATGGCCATGCTTAGGAGGTTCGGTTCTGAGCCGTCTTGATGCTGCTCCTGTTGCAAGGTGAGATTAGCTGCCCCTTCCAACTGTTCCTCAAGGCCAGAGTCCTGCAGCTGAGTAAACATCAAGGTAAAAGGTTCATTGAAATACCTACAAAACACCACCATCCCCATACTTTAGGAAATGAGTCTCCACTGTTCCATTATGTGCGTGTGTTTACTCATTTTCAGTTGTGTCTGACTCTTTGTTATTCCATTTGGGGTTTTCTTGGCAAAGATACTGGAGTGGTTTGCCATTTCCTTCTCCAGCTCATTTTACAGATTGGGAAACTGAGGCAAATAGGGTTAAGTGACTTCCCCAGGGTCACACAGCTAGTAAGTGTCTGAGGCCAGATTTGAACTCATGAAGATGACTTCCTGATTCCAGGCCTGGCACTCTATCCTCTGTGCCACCTTATTATTCCAATATACTGGAAAAAAGGAAGAATTTTAAAAGAGGTGGATCAAATAGAAGTTAGAACATGACATTCCACTGAAGTAGGGTTTATAGGATCATAGATTTAGAGTCAAAAAATGGTCTTCAGGGAACCTAGACCAATTGCTTCATTTTACAGATAAGGACAAGAAAGTCCAGAGGAAATATGCCTTGCCCGATATCACTTGGGTGCCAGTGACAGTGTTGGGATTTGAACTTAGGTCTTCCACATCTGGTGGCCTTTCCCCATTCAATCATGCTGCTTTTTCTAGACAAAAAATTTCATTGTAAATTGATTATGATTCTAATTTTTTGACGTTGTCTGTTATAATGTTACTAACAAATCTCTAAACAAATATTTTAATTTGTTACTATTTAAAATATAAATAGATAACCCCATTTATAGGGGGGTGGTAATACAAGAAAGCCAGAACAAAGCAATAGTGTTCCCAGGTTCAAAAACAGATTTGGGAATCTCTCTCAAAGTGCCCAAACATCTCATTGGCCCTGGATTATTAGGGAAACTACTCACTGCTTCCTTCTTTCTTCCACTCAATTCTAGACATGTCTGAGCAGGAACTGAGATAAACAGTGGGTGGAGAAAATGGTGAGGTCTCTCTCAATGCTTCCCTCTACCACATGTTGCTTCTGGGCTTCCTAAACTCTGCTCTCTACTCCCTTGCTCAGCCCCAATTTGCCCCACAAGCAGTGGCTGTCCCTAGCCAGGAATCCTAAGGACTGGAGATACCTCTCCCCATGCTGCCCCCACCTCCTGCCCCTCTTTTCTCTCTCATATCAAAGGGTTTTCACATGAACCCCGAGGTGTTTGGGTATGGAAAGGGGTGGTCCTTAGAGGATCTGGAAGTGCTAGGAGCTGAGACCATTGGGGGCTCTTTTCCCCAGTGGCAGGCACTGTGAGCCAACCACATCTGTGGCAGTGTCTCTAAGCTACTCTGTATGCTTCCTCGTCAGACTCCATTGGTTTTCCCCAGCCAGCTTGCATCCCTCTCTCCTCATTTAATCTGATCTGTGCCCAGGCTAACCCAGCCCCTAGGATGCCAGAGGCATCACGTGCTGCTCAAGATGGCGTCCCCTGCCTCCACCGGGAACCTGGATTCTACAAAGCTCACTCTGTCTCCCTGCTCCAGGACAAAAGAGTTGCGCTCTGTATGGGCCCTATCGATGGTATCTTCTCTAAAGCCTTTTACCTTAAAATGAGGTTGTTCACAGGCAGAGAGGATGCCCTCCTTGGGTCTGGTGAGAAGGGATGGATTGCCAGCTCAGATCCTGGGAGGCAGGATTCCTGTCCCAGCTGAATCCAACAAATTGGTTAAAAAAGAAGGGAAATCTCAAGGCTTGGTATGGAAAAATGAGAGTGCGCCAGGGATTTTTAAGCCTGCACTGCCATCTATAGACCACTTTGATTTGTGTCTTCAGGCCAGTCCAAAGGTTTTCTTTCCTTTCTGCCTGGTATTCAGTCACTCTCTTAGCTTTCTCTCTTACAGAAATATCTAATCTCTTAAATCAGGAAATGATACTTATAGGCCTTGTTGGGAGTGGAAGTGACTGGCTCCAAAACCACGTCAAAGCTTCCAAGAGTATTCCTTGTACCCATTGTTTTAGGAAAGAAGGGTCCAGGCAGCACAGAGCCACCTCCGCTTCAAGTGAAATTTTCCTTTCCATCCCTTTCCCCAGCCCAGCAGACTGAGGCACCTCGAAAGGAATTGCTCAGTTCTCTACCTTCAAGATCCAGAAGTTTGCATAACCCATCCCAGTTCGCCACTCCAGAACTGAAGGAGTTCCCAAGACAAAAGGCAGCCTCTGAAACATCTAAGATCCCCAGGATCTAAACCTCAGCATGGTTCAAGAATAATTCAGAGGGGGCAGCCTTTTATTAAGTATACCATTGACCCAGAAGACAGAGGATGGATTTTTGTGTTCTAATCAACTGGCAGATCCTAGAATCACAGATCTAGAACTGGAAGGTGGCCAGGCAGTCCAATCTCATCACTTTACATGGAAAGATGCTGAGGTCTAGGAGGCAAAGTACCTTGCCTAAGGCCAAACAGATACTAAATGGAGTCCTTTGACTCCAGAACCAGAGTTCTTTTTCATTGTACTTTGAATGAGGTCTACCTTTCCCACTCTGCAGCACTTAACATAATGCCTGGCACAAAGTTGGTGCTTAATAGATGTTCATTGACCGACTGACTGACTACTGAGTTTGAATCGAATCTGCCTCAGATACTTGGTAGCTGTGTGACCCTGGGCAAGTCACTTAAACTCTCTAAACCTCAGTTTCCTTATCTGTAACATGGGGATAATAATAGAACCTACCTCATAAGGTTGTTGTGAGGATGAAATAATACAATATTTGTAAAGCACTTTATAAAATCTAAAATACTATATTATTATTACCATTAATTCTACATTCCTATCCACCTAGAATTCAACCACTTACCATGCTTCTAGGTGGGAAATACAATTTCTAGTTCAGGTTCCTCTCCTGGGGCTAGTCATTTGCCCTAAAAATGTTTTTTTTTTTAAATTCCTAATATAAAGAACTTTAAGATCATCTATCTTCTAGTGATTAGCTAATAGCAATAATAAAAGTAGCTGATATCTATCTAAGAACTTATTATAACTCTGTAAAATTAGTTCAGGAATTCATAGAATTCCTGTTTTAGAGTTAGGGAATTCAGATACAGGGAAGCTAAGTGGCTTGTCCAAGATTACACAGCTTTTAAGTATCAGCAGCAGGTTTCAAACTCAGATCTTCATACCTTCAGTCCACTGCTTCTTTCTGCTAAGTTCCACTCCCTTTTGTTTGTGAGCATCAGATCAAATTAGCATCCCTAGCTTTGTCATCCAGTCACAATTCTTTGATCTCCCTGAACTCAGAAAGTCGTAGGTGGTCCTCTCCACAAATGTGAAAGTCAGAAAGGGATAAGCATGAATTAAAAGGAAATGGAGGCCTTTCTCCTCAATCCAGAGTCCAACATGGCTGGCCACCTAAGGATAGTAATTGACTGAGATTGTAGTAAGAGATAATTCCTCTACCTTTTAGGTTGTCATGACTTTTTTGCCACCTGACTCTGAATCTGCAGTGATTGGGCCACTAGGCAGATTGGTCCTTAAACTCCCCTCCTGTCCACATTCATTTCTGTTCCTCAGCTTCAAGAGAAGTTTAGCCTAGTAAACAATTCATGAATACATGATAGGTTATACCCCATGTCCAACTCCCAATGCTACCATGGGGAGGCATCTAGGTGGTGCAGAGGATAGAATAATGGACTTGGGGTCAGGAATACTTGAATTCGATCCCTTGCTCAGACATTTGCTAGCCGTGTGACCCTGGACAAATTACTTGACCTCTCTCAACTTTGGTTTTTTAATCTATAAAATGGGAATAATAACAGCACCTACCTCATAGTTGTGAGGATCAAATGAAATAACACATGTAAAACTACTCGTAAAACTAAAAGAACTACATAAATGTTGACATGATGATGAGGAGGAGGAGGAGGAAAAGGAGGAGAAAGAGGATAATGATGAGGATGCTAGTTTAGTTACATGCTGAGATGTAAAGTAAAAAAATTTGTGGGTAAAGTACTAAAAATAAAAACAATGTTAATATTTTAAGGGATCTGCAACCTCAGTGCAGTGCAGATCACAATTCATTGAAGCCTCCTAATCCCATATGACTCTTGCCCATGTCCTACCATAAATCCTTAACAAGAGCTCTTCTCAACATACTAGAAGACTTCTTCTGGCCCATGGTTTCTTACTCTTTTTATGTCATGTATCTCTTTGGCAGTCTGGTGAAGCCCTTCTCAGAATAATATTTTTTAAATGTATGAGATAAAATATATGATTACAAAGGAAGCCAATTATATTGAAATAAAGAAGTAATTTTTTCTCCAACCAACCTCATGGACTCCCTAAAATCTAGCCATGGGACCCCAGGTGAAGAACCCTTTCTCTAGGTCTCTTGGTTGCCAGTTATCCAGACTATTATATGTAATTGAATGGATAACCACAGAGTTAATCCATTACTACACAATTGTTCAGACCTTGAAAGTGGATAATGAACTGGGTCCAGAATTAGACATGAGGAAGAGAGCAAATTTGATTGTATTTGAGGAATTACAGAGTACTTTTAAGCTTTTCCATGAAAAAAACAACTTTTAAATACCAATATTTCTCTAGGGGATAGGTGCAATGTGCCATAGTGGATAGAGAACTGGGTTTGTAGTTAGGAAGTCCTCAGTTCAAACTTAGCCTTTGACATTAACTATGTGATGCTGGAAAAGTTATGAAGCCTCTCTATGTAAACTTATCTTCAGTCATATTGGTTATGAGTTCTGTAGCATATAAGGTTAGGGGTAGATAGCTAGGTATCTGAATTTGTGGAGGGGGATTCCTCAAGCTGACAAAACCACATCTCTCATGCAGTCACATATTTTGGTAATGTAGTACAACTACAAATCACTCAATACAATCGCCATAGAATTGAAATTGCAGACCACTGAAAGGCAATGGAGAGCTATGGAATGGGTCTGAAGAGGCTGTAGTATATTCCCAATGAAGGCCACCTTCATGAAAGAAGTGAAAGAGGTTTATGACCAGAAAAGGAGAAGGTTTGGTTAGAAAGCAAGGAGTAATGGAAGAAGAACCCATGTGCTGTGCTGGTACCCATAAGATGCTACAACATTGTTAAAGTTAGACATTAATTAAAAAGAAAGACAAATGTCAAAATAGTAATAACCCTACCTGTTTCTTTCTTCTTTGTTTTTGGACTTTCAACTTTTTCTTCAGTTTTTCTGCCTCCTCATCTTCATTTTCAACAAACTCCTTTGTCCAAAAAAAAAAAATAAAAAGTTGAAGTGTAGGTTTATTTGCTTAAATTTAAAACAATTTAACAGTAAAAGATCTGGTACTGTATTTTTAAATATTAAAGACAAAATCACAGCAAAGATGAAAAGGCTCAGTCCCTCTACTTAGTTCTGTTAGCCTTCATTAGGAATTAGGAAACCAGATCCCTCACTGAACGTAACCATTACCCTCATCACTGCCACCACACCACCATAAATGTCGTCATCATTGTTGGCACCAGGTGATGTGATATGAAGGACACTGCACTAGGAGTCAGAGACTCTGATCAGATCCTGGCTCTGTCACTTACTATCTGTGTAATCTTAGGAGAGTCACTTAACTCTCCTGGGCCTCAATTTCCTCATCTGTACAATAGTAGAGTTTGACTACATGACCTTTAAGGCCCTCTTTGTTTCTAACATTGTGTAATTCCATTAGATTTCTTTATTATTATTATTGAGGGCTGTCTCTCTCTCTCTCTCTCTCTCTCTCTCTCTCTCTCTCTCTCTCTCTCTCTCTCTTCTCTCTCTCTCTCTCTCTCTCTCTCTCTCTCTCTTTCACTCTTTTGCTCTCACTCCCTCCATCCTTCCCTCCCTCCATATCTGTCATAGATATCCATGTATCTATTACATATATAAGTAAATATATACATTTTTATATGTAGACAGAGATTCATTCATGACCTTATATCAGATCATAGGATCAGAGATCTAGACTTCAGACTTCATATGTTCCAACCTTTTCATTTTACAGATGAGGAAATTGAAGCCCAGGGAGTTGGTAACTCACCCCAGATCATATATTGCAACATCCTTGAGGATAGGAACTGTCTTTTACCTCTTTTTGTATCCCTGGCACAGGGAAGCACTTAATAAATGTTTATCTAATTATTATTGAATACACATGTACACATATGCATATATGTGTATGTACGTAGGTTTATGTATATATGTATGTATGTATGTATATGTATGCACACATATATTTATACACACACATACATATATATACATATATATGTATATATATGTATATATGTGTGTGTGTGTGTGTGTATATATATATATATGTATATATTGAGCTTAGAGGTGAGGTTTGACCCCAGGCCATTTAACTACAGTGCCAGTGGTCTTTCTACTATACCATGTTGCCTCCTATCATAGGTGGGTTCACAGAAATTTTATTCTAGTAGATGTTTTTTCTGATCTCCTCATAATTTGCCTTTGGCCCTACAAGTGTTTATCTAGATTCCACAAAAATTGCTCTGGTCCTTTTATTCAGGACATATTCTGGGGCAACCATACTGGCTGATAGGGAAAATGTGTAGTTTTGGAGAGTTAATAATAAGAAACCACTTTATAGTTATAAAGCACTATAAATACTTCATCTCATTTGAGCTTTAATCCTATAAGGCAGGTCCTAGGAGCTGCTTCAGAGGCAAGAAAGCTTTCTGGGAATAAATAGGGAAATTGTCTTGACTGTGTTGACAGAAGAGGAGGAGTCATCATGCAGTGATAAGTTTGCCAGAAAATACATTTGACCTATAGAGAGTAGGGGAACTGAAACGGGGTGAATGTTTTGCAACTATCTTGGGAGGGGTAAGAAGAGGAGGATGAAGGAGGAGGAGGTGAAGGAGAATCTCCTCCCCGGAACCATAGAACATGAGAATTTGAATGGGCTTTAGAATTCAGCCCATATTTTACATGAAAGGAAACTTAGGTCTAGAAAAGAATGACTTGACCAAGGTCACACAACAAGTACAATTTCTGTCTTCCAGTATTCAAGAAATGAAGAGAAATAAACTTGCTTAACATCTAGGTTGACTTTAAACTCCTTGAGGACAGTAACTGTTTTTCATTTGAAAAAATGGGAATAATATACTTTAACAGCCTATCTCCTTGTAAAATTGTAAAACACTTTAAAATGGAGAATTATTTTCTTTTGTCCCAAATGCTGAGTAGAGTCAGAGGTGTGCTGGGGCCAGCTTGAACAGGCTTGAAGATTGTGAAATTTTCAGGGAGAGTATTTATACTTTGGAAATCAGTGAACACTAAATCAGGGCTTAATTTCTTTCTTTATTGATTGTCTAGACTTAAGAAGGTGATGGAGAAAATGTTAATAAAACAGATTAAACTTAAAAGTAGGCCATTTTCCCTCAAGAGTGAATTGTTTTCTTTAATGTGGTTTTTTTTAATTAATTTATTTTGATTTATCAACAATCACTTCCACATGCTTTTGAGTTTAAAATTTTTCTCCCCCTTCCTCCCCACCACCCTCCCCAAGATGGCTAACAATCTGATATAGGCTATACATATACATTCCTATTAAACATATTTTCACATTAGTGATGTTGTAAGTAAGAATTAGAACCAATAGGAGGAACCATCAGAAAGAGGAAACAAAACTCAACAGAAGAGAAAAAAGTAGCAAATAGTGTGCTTCGATCTGCATTCAAACTCCATAGTTCTTTCTTTGGATGTGGATAGCATTTTTCATCATGAGGCCTTTGTAGATGTCTTAGATCCTTGTATTGCTGGGAAGGGTTAAGTTCCAAGAGCAAATTGTTAAATATTTACCAGCATAGCTCTCAGCAGAGTATACTCCATATACAGTAGATTCACTAGAAATAGATGTTTATTATTAATGTGATTTCTTCACTCATTAAGAACCCTAAAAAAATCATGTAAGCATCTACTTACCTCTGAGATTATTTTCAGTTTTTCTTCTTTGTGACTCATTTCTGGATCCCTGAGCAGCAAAGTAAAAACAAAGAAATCAGGCATTTTGTGGTGTTGTATTGTGTTGTTGTTGTTGTTGAGGATGCTTGAATTGAGTATGGCTCAGGATGAATGCTTGTGGAACATTAGTAAGAATACTATAAAACCAAAGGACAAAATCATCATCTGTTCCAGTAGAACTCCAGCTAAGCTGCAGTTTAAGGTTTATTAAATTTATCTTATTTAAATAGAAAGTTAATTCTATGATCTCCCTTGACAAATGGGACCACTTGTCTAACTCCTCTTCCTCCTCCTCTACTCCCACCGCTATAATTCTAATACAGGTTTATCTATCTGACCATTAAGGTATCATCCCCAAATATTTTCCTAATATTTTCTTCTTCTCTCCCTTCGTATTGTTACTGGATCAGTCTTTCTTATGCACAGATATCTGGTCATGTAATTCTGTTAAAAAACTTTTGGTGGCCTCTTATTGCTCCAGGATAATAGATAAACTTCTTAGCCTGGTGGTACTGGACCCATTCCCCCCAAATCTCACTGTAACCTCCTTTCACTTCAATCCCCTTATGTTTCAAGCAAATAGGACGAATGGTCCCTAGACTCAGTATGCTTTGTTCAATTCCAATAAATAAACATTTATTAAACATCTATTACATGCAAGCCACTATGTAAGGTGCTAGGGATTGAAAGACCCCTTCTCCCCAAAAGAATAATCTTTGCCCTTAAGGACCTTACATTCTACTGTAATGTGGAATGAGGGACACAACACATAAACAAACAATTAATACAAAATAATTTAGAAAGGAGAGAATACTGAAAACCTAAGGGGGTCAGAAAAGACTTCTTGTGGGAGGTGGTGGCACCTCCATTGATCCTTGAAGGAATCTAAAGATTCTAAGAATTACTGGGAGAGCAATATACACAGTGACTATAATAATGTAATTGAAAACAAAAGTGAAAGGCAGTTTTGCTAATTGTAATGACCAACCTTGGCTCCAAAGAGCAGGTATTTAAACATACTTCTCTCCTCTTGGTAGATGACTAAGGATGCAGAATGTTGCCTACACTGCCAGATGTAGTTGCTGTGTTGGTTGGTTTTGCTAACTTTTTTTTTCTCTATGTAACAGGGGAGAGTTCAATGGGAGAAAGGAAATATCAGTGTGAAATTGATGTCAAAGCAAGAGGCATCAATGAAAGTTAGGAAAAGAAAATAAGAGAGAAATACGGAAAAGGAGTGAGATGAAAGAAAAGTGGTAGGGGGAACTAGAATATTATAAAGTATGGTAGAGAGCCTTCCCCAAATGCTTTAGGTGTCATTCAATAACACCCATGCCATAGATTGTCCACCACCCTTCTAGTTCATCTCATCTGTGAAAAGCTGTGCACAATTGTTTCTTTTCTTCAAAGGAAATTAGTCTAAAATAATCAACTCTTGATTATACACATGTTCCTAGGACACTCCTATTATTTGACATGATTTGCTTCCCTCTACCTGCCGAGATTCCAATAATGAAAGACCCTTATTATCTAGTTAGTCTTTCCTTCCCCCACACCCATCTTGTCCCCTATCCTCCCTTTTCCTTTATATTCACTATACTTTCCATTTTCCCATGGGTTCAGATGGGTCTAGGGCTGGAATTCCCTAAGTAATTTGGACACAGGACATTCTTGTCCTGATAAGTGTTGGTATAATCTATAAGTGTTTCTCCAGTGCCTCAGATTGGAAAAATGTCAGGAAAATCTCAGAGGAACCAATGTTAGAAGGAAGACTTGAAAACTTTAATAAATGCAATGACTAATCATGGTTCCAGAAGATTGATAATGAAGCAAGATACTCACTTCTTAACAGAGATGATGGACTCAAGATGAAGAATAAGATATATTTTTGAATATAGCTTATGTGGGAATTTGTTTTGCTGGATTATGTATATTTATTACAAGGGTTTTGTTTTTCTCCCCATCCCACCACCATTTGGGGGGGGTAGAGAGAACAAGGGGGAAAATAAAACCATAAAAGTGTTTTAGGGGAAGATGGGGAAATGAAACCTACTTTTATACTGAAAATTGTCTCACAATTCTTTTTTATACCTGCATAATTTCACATTTAATATTTCAGAGAGGAAATTAAAACTGGTAGTAAATTCTTTTTTCGTAGACTCATCATTCATATCTCATCGAACAATGACAATCCAGATTTCATGCTATACCCTGGGAAATGTCAGCTCATTTTTCTCCCTCCACTCTTTCCAGAGCTATCCTTTTTTCACTAATCCCTGATGAGTTTTCCCCCACTCATACTGATTCAGGGATGCCATAGGCACATAGGAGATAATAAATACCCACTGAATTGATGAACCATTTGAAAAATATTTCTGCCACTTCATATCATTTAATAGCAGGGATTGGAAATAACTCTAAAGAAAAAGTTTAGTACCTACTTTGTATCTAGAATATATAATTTTCCATTAAAATTATATGCGATAATTAGGAAAGGCAGCATAGCATAGCTGGTCTAGAGCTAGAAAGACTTAGATTCAAATCCAGCCTCTGACACATAGTGTGTCCTTGCGCAAATCACAACCTCTCAGTTCCCCAAATAACTCTTGAAGACTATAAGTTACAGAGAAGATGCGTACATGCTTCTGTCTTGGGAGTTGTCAAAATGGAAATCCCATATATTAATGAAATCATAGGACTATACCCTCCAAAATAATATTTAGATAACATAAATATTTCAATAAGATCTACAGTTCCATTAGGGTGAGTATTTATTTCCTCCACAACTTAGGAGGTGATCTTTGCTTCAAAATTTATCATCCTTCGGCCATTAGTGATGAATATATTCCAACTCAGCTAGCCTGGCACTCAGACACCATGCATGAATTCTAACCCTGGGGACACATGCAGAGCTTCCTAAAACTCAAGTCTGATCTCGTCATTCTTCTGCTTGACAACCTTCAATGGCTCCCTATTGTCTCTCAAACAAGGTGTAAACACACATGTAAGGTTGGCATTTAAAGCCTTCGCAGTCTGGCTCCAGCCTATTTTTCCAGGTGGCTTATGTATTGCTTCTACTCCTGTGCTCTGGAATCAAAACCAGATTAACCTATTTGCTTCACTGCTTTCTGTATATGAAGTTCCATCTTCTGTCTCTGAGTTCATGGTTTGGCCCTCTCTGCTCACCTCTGCCTCTTGGAATCTCGAGTTCCTTTACTGGCTCAGTTCATGTGCCATTTTCTATGGGGCACCTTTTCCGATCTACTTAATTATGACTGCTCTCTTCCTCCTCAGATTATCCCCATTATATTGCTTACGTGTTGTATCCCCTGGAGAGAGAAAGCTTGATTTGGTGTACAGAAGACCCACTCTCCTTGGAGTTAGAAAGACCTAATCTTGCCTCTGATAACACCTTGGCTGTGTAACCCTGGACAAGTCACTTAACTTCTCAGGGCCCTGGTCAATTTTCTAAGCTATAAACTGCAGAACAGGTGCTGATCTGCATTAGCAGAGAGGATTCCTCAGGAAGAGTTTCTTATACCAATGAAATCACAGCTCTGGACTTTACCCCTTACCTCGCAGTAAAATGTATTCTCTTTAAGGGCACTGCTTCTCATTTTGTCGTTGCATCCCCAGTCCTAGCACAGTCTGGCACCTAGTAGGTGCTTAATTAAATACTTCAAGTTTGGATAAGATATACGATGCTTTGGACTTTTTTGGCCTAGCCTTTGACAACCCAGCGCCTCCTCCATGAAGAGGCATTTCTTTTCTTTTCTTTTCTTTTTTTTTGTGAGGCAGTTGGGGTTAAGTGACTTACCTAGGGTCACACAGCTAGTAAATGTCAAGTGTCTGAGGTCAGATTTGAACTCAGGTCCTCCTGACTTCAGGGCCAGAGCTCTATCCACTGCACTACCTAGCTACCTCTCATGAAGAGGTATTTGAGAACAATATTAGCAGTATGACACAAATACATGTAATAAAATATAATAATTTTGCTAGAATGTAGAAGCCATATACTCATACATGTATAACACAGTGGATACAGAGTTGGCCTTGAAGCCAAGAAGACCTGCATTCAAGTCCTAACTCTGGCACATACATACTGGCTGTGTGACCCTGAGCAAGTTACTTAACCTGTCCAGGCTTCAGGCAAGGCTCTAACACTTTTTTTAAAAAGACTTTACAATTACATGTGTACATTCCTCATTTATAAGTTCCCTATATCAATGAAATGGCTGGTCCAGTCCCTATAGATTTCCCTATAAACAGTCACTTTATATGTAAATACATATGATGTACACAACTATGTGTATAAATAATACATATGTGTATATATCATACATATACAAAGTATTGTATACGTAGTGATTCATATCACTATGTTGGCTGACGTTTACCTATGTATAAAAACATATGTATTATAAATAACATATAATATACATAAGCACAAGCAATGTAACATAACACACATATATTAAATATGTAAAATTATACACATACACATCTTTATAACACCTTTCCTACAGAGGAAAAAATTCACTTAAAACTGCATCTAATATATCATCTTTGTGCCTTTTCAAAAGAACAGAATAACCTTTTGGGTGATGGTTATAAGGCCCCTTGCTGTAATCATTGCCAAGAAAACTGATGTTACAAGTACCTGGGGCTTATATTTGTTATCCCATCAAACATCTCTCCTACTTAAGTGAAGATAAAAAGGCCTAAGACTGCTCAATATACTAAAATATTTCCAACAAGCTTCAAAGACAAACTAGGCTGAATAGTTATAAGGGAGCACAGAAATAGGCCTTGAAATCAGTGCTGAGAGAGTCAGGGTAGCTGCCTGCATTTCCTGCTTCCAAATCAGGTACCAGATTTGAGCTAAGCCCAAATTGTCTGTGATCACAGGACCTGGAATGGTGCCCCTCTTGTTTTCAGAAGCAAAGCCACCAGGCAACATAAAGCAGGGCATGTAAAATTCATGAAATCCACCTCCTGTTGTACACAGGTAGGCTGAATTCTGGGCATTTGCGCAGCAAATCTGAGTGTCCCCGACTTCCTGGCTGTGACCATGTTTGTAAATGCTTTCTTTACCTGAAGCAACTTTACTCAAGGCCCTCGAAAGGTTCAGTTCTCTTAAGCCTAGAGACAAGAGACCAGAGAGTGCAGCCCCTGTGCCGAATCTTCTAACGGATAGTGGCTGGAGTCAGGACTGGCTTTCCTTAGGCTTTACTTCCGAAGTTGTAAGGAGCTGCTCACATAACAAAAACTGCCAGCGTAGCAACGCTTGTTGCTAAGGGAGGGAATGTTGATTTTTTTTTTTAAAGTGACAGCTTCCAAGGAAGCCTTTTATGGCAAGCAAAGAAAAACACATTGGGTAAGGAGAGGAGCTGATCCAACTGGAAAAGAACAGAGACCAAACTCAGACAGGAGACAGAGGGAGGGACATAGAACAGCCAAGATGCAGACACCCCCACCTCCTCCTGCTTTCAAATATACAATGTCATAAGAGTTTATTCTAGAAAAATTAACGGTCGAGTTCAGACAGACTTAGGGATTTGGGAGTCTGGAGTGGTGAGGTGTCTGTTTTGTGACAGCAAGGTTTTTATTTAGGATTTTTTTCTAGAGCAATTTAAAAATTTTCCCTCCTGGGCTGACTCCCCCTATTACCTAGCCTGCTTCTCAGTCGTTTCTTCTTACCATCAACTGATTTATACTCAGTAATAGGACTATTTGCCGAAAGGAAACATCATCAGGAAGTGAATATTTTTAATACACTTCCCTTAGATTCAATCCCATCAATGCATCATATTTCACTGGTATGGCTAGTCAATAGAGCAGATTGCAAGGTGTCAGCCTCTGCAACTGTTAACCACATTTTCCCTAAAATCTTCTGAGAGAGCCTACTCACCATTCTGGGGCCTTCCTCTGACACTCTTGACATTGACTGCATACTAGTAAAACATATAGGCTTTCTATTGTTTACTCTGAGGCCATCTTCTTCTCTGGTTTTATGTTTCTTTGATGACAGGAAAGTGAATAAGCTGTACCCAAAGCCTATATCTACGTGTATAAATACATACTTACATATACATATACATTCATGCCTACATACATATGTATATTTATATTAACATACCATATATAATAGATGTAAGTGTGTATACATACAGATATACATATATATTTATTTATTTATGCAAGGTCACCATGGTGAGTGAATACTAGATCCATGAGTCTGATGCTTTTCGTGCACTGGTTAAATTATTATCAGTTGATTATAGGAATATAAAGGGTCTAGAAAAAGAAATCTGAGACTTTGCATCTTAAACTACCTAAAAAATCAGAGATAAGCTTTAAAAAGTGGCTCTAAAATTGTTTCACAATTGATATTAGCTATGATGTTAATCTATTGTGTGATATGTTATGACATGTCTCATTCTAAAACACTTCAATAGTTAAGTCTGAATGATAGCAATATAATTCAGTTACTTTCGGGGAAAACATAGTTTTAAAAGGTTTGATCCTCTTTCCCTTCTTTTTTTTTCCCTTCCACAACAATTTACTAGAGTTCAATCTCCTTACCCTGGACCTATTCTCTGACCATCTTCTGCTATGAGAAACTTTGAGTCCGTCCAAAGGGGTTCCCTGCTCTGAGAGGTGAGGTTTTGTCTTATGTCTTATTTCGCTTAGACCCAAAGCTGTAATCCACAGTCTGCTCATTATGGCCAAATCTGGTTACTTGCTTTCCCTTTCCAGGATGGATTTATATGTTGTCTTCCCCCATTAGAATGTAAGCTCCTTGAGGACAGAGACTATATTGCTTCCTTGTTTTTGTATTCCCAGTACTTTGCACAATATCTGGCATGTAGTAAGGCATAATCAATTCTGTCTGTCTGTTTGCCTGCCTGTCATGTGTCTGTCTGTCTATCTATCTATCTATCTATCTATCTATCTATCTATCTATCTATCTATCTAAATATCTAATACTATGTGCTAGGTATTCCCTATTCTCATCTATCTATCTATCTATCTATCTATCTATCTATCTATCTATCTGACTAAAACTATGTTTTCAAAGAGTCTACAACAGAATACAATGTAACATCCGTCCTCTACATAATAATATTTCAGGACCACAAGTTGTTTTATTTTAATTGATCTGTTCTAACTATTGCTAAATGTTATCTGAGTCTACAGGATATGCTAGGTACTAGTTGAAACATAAACAGAACTAGAACTAGAAGACACTTTAAAGGTTGTCTAGTCTCTATGACCCTCACTCTATAGAGAGGAGGTCACAAGACCTAGAAAGGCTAGAGGCCTTTCCTGGGTTCTAATAGTTAATGAGGGTATGAATGTGGAATTTTATCCAGAATGCCCAACTCCTAGTGCACTAGTCCAAGACCTCAAGAAAGTTACAAATTCTTAATGGTCCATGCCCTCTCTTGGTTAATATGAAAAGATGGAATACCATATGTGTTTCCATACTTTGACCTACATTCCCAAGTGAAGAGTATTTTCTCTACTTGTACTGCTTGTGACCTATCAAATGTATTTAGTACATTTACTTATCCATGCTCCTTTTGCCATTTTTTTGTGTCTGCATTTTTGATCTTGAGTTTAGTAAGACCTGTTATGCCTCGTCTGAAAGATTTATGTGTAAGAATACTTTTTTTTCTGGCTACCTAGGGGCAGTTATGATATGGTAGAAAGGGCAATGAACTTGGAATTAGAAGACCTGGGGTTCAGTCCTAGTTCAGAAAATTATTAGCTCTGTAAACCAGATGAGTTTCTCTTGTATAAGGATGCAACTTATTCAAAGGGAATAGGATAAGGCAGAGGGTGGAGGTGGTAAACAGCATTGAATATTCCTCATTGCAAGAAATCTGGGAACCAGAGAGGGGAGCTGGAGAACTTATGTATGAAGATCAGTGAAGGAAGAAATAAAAGTGTTATTGTCATTAGACTGAACTATGGACCACTTGAACAGAAAAAGGATATAGGCAATAGATAAATGATGGATTTGGAAAATTTGTCACAAGCCTGGCACACAGACATGATAAAATTAATAGTTATGAAGATCTCCAATTTTCAAGACATCTACTTGAACTTTCTCTGCCAAAACAGCAAGGCAGTTAATGATCTGTTGATTTTCCTTAATAAGAATTTCATTCTACAAAAGGTGGAGAAATCAATGAGAGTGACTTACCTTCTGGACCAATCAGGATGAATTGATTTCTGGAGTGGAAATGAAGGCACCATTGGAAGAAAATAAGCACACTTTCTTAGATTTTGTGATAAAGGAGAGGAAAACTAAGCATCATCTGTCTTTTACCTAGATTTTAGGAGGGCAGCTTTCAAAGAGAAAGGTCAGGTGGGCTGCCATAGGTAAAAATTCTGTAGAGCAAGTCAGGCCTGCAGTGATAAGGGGCTCTCAAGCAGGAAATCCAAATATAGAAAGAGAGAGTTTTGATGAAGAAGAAAAAGATGACTTGTCCAAACATACCAATATGAATATTCAGGGAACTCCTCAACTAACTTAGAATTTTAAAAGCTAAGAATAGATAGGATCAAGGCCAGGAAATAGAGGATTAATACAAAAGAATGGCACAGTCCTGTACAAAGTGTTAGGAGTACTAAAGCTGGAAATAAATGGAAGCTGGTTAGACTTTAGAGGCAGAACAAAGGGGTTTTAAAAACTATTTTGTGGCAAAGAGGAGGACTAAAGGAGGGAGAAGAGAAAGTTTCAGGGTGTATGGGATCACGACAAGAGATAATAGAGAGAAGCCTGAGCTGCTCAAGTCTGTTTTCATTGAATTGAGTATAGTTTAGTTTGTTTTACTGAGGACAGTGATCTTTAAATTAGAAAAAAAGAGAACAAAAGTGATTAATGGGAAGCTTATCCTCCAGATAAAGCAGGGAGATAGTAAGAAAGTACTTAGCTCTCTTGATGAGTTCAAGTCACCAGGACCAGATGATTATAATCTAGGATATGAAAAAGTTTTCATATGTGATGGGGGAAGAGAGGTGGCACAGTGGATAGCACACAGACCTTGGAGTCAAGAAGAATTGAGTTCAAATGTACCTTCAGAAACTTAGTAGCTATGTGACCCTGGACAAGTCGCTTTATCGCTGTCTCAGTTTCTGCAACAGTAAAAAGGGGGAAATAATAACACTTTCCTGGAAGAGTTGTTGAGAGGATTAAATGAAATAATTGTAAAGTGCTTAACACAGTGCCTGTGAGATAGTAAGTGCTATATAAATGTTAGCTATAATAATAATAACAGTAATTAATTAATTATAATTATCATCTACTCATTGACCAATAGATTTAGGAAAAAAATGCAGATTTTTGAAAGGTTTGTCAGTAGTCTTTGAACTATTATAGAAAGTGGAAGAGATGCTGCTTTTCTGGAGGAGGGCAAATTCTGGATTTATCAAAAAAGGAAAGAGAATGGAGTCTGTAAGCTATAAGCCACTATTGTGGGAGTTTTCTCAGCCCAAGGAGAATCTGACTTAACCAGTAGGCCTATGTAATTGGAGGTCAGATAAAGTGAGTAGCCAAACTGGAAAGTAGAAGAAGTTTATTAGCCAGCTAAGAAAGACTGCAGCTTCAACTACCTCAGGTACATTTTGAGTACTTATAGCTTGTTAGGCTCACTGAAAGTACACAGCCCACCACAGAAAAGCAATGAGAGGAGGGGGGTAAGTGTGAAAGCTATGGAGTTACAGGAGTTAATAAAGATCAGTTTTGTTCCTATGGGAAAATGTGTTTCTCTGTGGTTAGTAATCTTGAAGATAGTGGAGGCCTGTTTCAAGACAGAATCAGTCTGTACTACCTTATTGCCAGTAAGAAGGAGAACAAAACACAGACTGATGGTTTTTATTTACAAAACCCCAGAGCTGTTTTCCTTTGTTCCTGGAGGCTACTCTTTCTGGGGAGATGTTTCCCCAGAAACCGTTTCAGAGTACTAATGTTCATCCTATCAACAGTTCAAATCTTGGTGAAATTATAGCATACATTATTATTATTATTATTATTATTTTGCTTTTTGGTGAGGCGATCGGGGTTAAGTGACTTTCCTAGGGTCACACAGCTAGTAAGTGTTAAGTGTCTGAGCCTGGATTTGAACTTAGGTCCTCCTGACTCCAAGGCTAGAGCTCTATTCGCCGCACCACCTAGCTGCCCCAAGCATGCATTATTACAATGTGGTTAGTGTCACAATGGCTAACACAAATTCCTCAAAAATAGGTCAGACCC